AAATAGAAGAGAACAGCACAATTTCATTGACTTAGAGTCTAGCCTGGCAGAGTTGGGCCTTTAGAGGCCACTTGAGCCCTGAAGAGCTTTCCCTGGGTACTACATAAAGGAAGGGACTTGGTATACACCCTTTATTCACAGACCTAGCTGCCTAAATTACCCAAGTCTTTTATTACCTCCCCCCTCATTTATTTTTTTCAACCTGGCTCCTCCCCACCCCCATCACAATTATGTTTTTATCCTTAGTCCTAGAGTACATTTTATCTCCTCTGGCTATAACCCTAGCCATTTATGACAATAGTTTTATTTCTTCAGTTTTCCAGTGAACAATGAACTCCTTTGAGTAATGCCTCTTTTTGTTTCACCATCCCAGAATCATTTGATATTTATCATCTGATCCACCTCTGCAAGCAGAGTCAGCACACTCCATCTGATCAGAACAGATTACAGTTAATAGTCTGACCATTCTCTTTGGTTGACCCTGAGCTCTCATTCTGTATCTTTTCATGTATATTTTTTGTACTTTTACAAGAAGTAAAAGCCTTATATTCACCAAATATTTCCCAAATTTTGATGACTGAGTGACTTAGGAAATAAGAAATATATATTGAGTGCCAACCATATACCCAGACTGATAATAGTTGCATAGATCTTGGTTATGTTTTCTAAAACAGCAGAGATCACTCATTCATTATGAAACAACATACATACACAAATGCCCAACGCATCTTATACATTTCTTACCTAGGTCAAAATCAGACAGGCAGCTAGCTAACTTTAGGCCAATTGAGGTGTCAAATGACATACTTTATAGTACCTATATTCATTATATAGAATAAAGCCATTGGAAAACAATTTGTAATCTAATTGAACTAAAACCATTGAATCTTGTTTATAAAATAAAAATGTCTTCAACTTTAATACCTTTTCTATAGCTAATTATTTATATATATATTAAAAATTTTAAATCTTTGAATGTCAAAAGATTAAATTTCCCTCTAAAATTATAAAATTCTATATACAAGAATGCTTTTCTCTAGTTGTCAATACATAATGCAACTTGAAGTCATATAACTTTACCTTATTTTTAGGCTAAGGTAAACATTAAATTTATTGTGTGTAACAACAGAGCTTTATACACCAAACTCTGCTCTAAATATGTGAATGAATAAAGACAGATTGATAAGGCATATTGCTCACTCACCAAAACTGAAGAAATTTACCAACTGTGTAATTATATTCATAATTACAAAATAACTGAAAAGCATATTTAGGATGAAGAAACCCCATTCTAAGATGGCTTTCAAAGTAATTTGTTTTTCTTGTTAATATTTAGTCTTAGAGGTTGTTTATAGTTAGCTTGGAAGCTTTTGAACACTTGAAGATATCCTTAAGGCTTTTAAAGCATTTGCCCTGGCCCTGGCCGGTTTGGCTCAGTGGTTAGAGTGTCAGCCTTTGGTCCAGAGACACCTGGGTTTGGTTCCCGCTAAGGGCATATACCTCGGTTGCAGTTTGTCCCTGGCCCTGGTTGGGTCGTGCGGGTGGCAATCATTCGATGTGTCCCTTTCACATCGATGTTTCTCTCTCTCTCTCTTCCTCTCTCCCTCTCCCCCTCCCACTTTATCTGAACAAAAACAAAAAAATGTCCTCAGGTAAGGATTAAAAAAAAGCATTTGCCCTGTATGTCTGCCTATCATATGTAAAATGATTTTCATGACAGGAAGTTTCCTTTTCCCAGCTCTCTAACTTGGTCTCACTCTGCTAGCACCTTCAATTCTTCATCTTAGGGAAAAGCATAGATATTTTTTTAAAAATCAAAATAATAAAAATCCCCATCTTTTAAGCATTTGCTATATGCAGACATGTGCAGGATCTTAGTGAAATACAGCAGCTCTATGCAAGTTCTCACCATTATACTTATTAAAAAACTGAGACTCAGAGAGGTTAGCTGCTTTCTTCCAAATTCACACCATTAGTAAGTGATGAAGTAAGTTGGGCTCATATCTGACTCTAAACTATAAGTACTAAATAATAAGAACAAGAACAACAAATATTTACTAAGTACTAACTGCCACCTACGTTACTAATCATGTCCCAAGATTATCTCAATCCTCAACAGCAGCATGAGGTAGATACACTTCAAATTCCAATTTGTGGATGAGGAGCTTAGGTACAGAGAAGTTAAATAGATTGTGTAAATCTACATTATTTTGAGGGGCAGTATAGAGATTTGAATCAGGCTAGTATGATTCATTGACTAGTTGCTTAATCATGATACTCAGGGACACTTATCCTCAAGAATGTATCTTAAATTATCCAGCCACTAATACTATTATTTAAACATTTCATATATATGTAATGTAGTGCCCCAAAATTAATGTAGTACTCGTATTAGTGTTTATTTGCATTTATTTAGCTCCTACCATGTGTCTGGAATACTGTTTTATGGATACAGAAACAAAAAGACACGATTTCTGATTAAAAACAGTTCCCAATGGAGTTGAAAAAGAAACATCTAATAAATGGTATTAGAGGAGATAAGTGAGAATTGTTCTCTTTCTATAGCAACATAGAAATACTTTATAAAAGAGGTGAAGTTTAAGTAATAGGCAAAGAATGAGATAAAATTGTCCAGCTATCCACATTTGGTGTGGAGTACTCTAGACAGTAGAAACACATGTGAGAAGATAACATGGCTTGTTAGAGAAACGTCAGTTGTCTCATTATTACTCAAGTGGAAAGTGTATATGACACTGACCCAACAAATGATCAGGTGAGCAGCATCTGACCCCAAAATGGATTTCATCATTTTAATTAATTTATTATTTAATACATTTAACAAATATTTATTCAGTGTCTGCTATATATCAGGAACTCTACCAATCACTTAGGAGTAAAAAAAGACACAGTTCTGGCCCTCTAGCCAGCTACTGTGATATTTGTTCCTCTGAGGAGTTTGAATTAGGGGGCAGTAAATGAATTTAAACAGGATATGCCTGTTTTCACACTTGAAATAATTCCTGAGTAGTGGTCTGTGTTGGAAAATCTGGAAAAATTTTGAATAATTATATATTTCATGATTTCCATCATTTTTATTTATTTTCCCCTGCTTAATTTCAGTATAATTTTATCTTCATTGTCTAGCTTTTTCAGGTAGAAACATAAAACATTGATTTTTAAATCTTTCTTTTCTAATAAGCATGAACACCTATAAATTTTGAAACTCTGCTCTAGCTGCATCTCAAAAATTTATAATGTATTTTATTATCTTTTAGTATAAAATTATTAATTTTTTATTTGACCCATGGGTTATTTAGAAGTGTGCTAATTTTCAAATATTGCATATTTTCTAGCTACATTGTTATTATTGGTTTGTACTTTAATACAGTTTGGTAAAAAAAAACAAAACTCTGTATGACTTAAATATTTGATATTTATTGAGGCTTGTATTATGGCCCAGCATATGTTAATTTCTATGTGTCTTCCATATGTATTTCAAAAAATTTATATCTGCATTTGTTGATTAGGTCAAGTTGGTTGACAGTGTTTTTCAAATTTTCTGTATCTTTACTGATTATTTTGTCTACTTATTACATCAGTAACTGAGAAGTAGTGTTAATGTCAACAATTTTATCATTCAAGTTTCTCCAGAGAAATAGAACCACTAAGATATGAGTTATTTTAAGGATTTGGCTCATGTAATTGTAGAGGCTTGCAAGTAAGAATTATAAGGCAAGCCAACAGGCTGGAAACTCAAATATAAGTTAATATTGCAGTCTTGAGGCAGAATTTATTCTTCTCTGGAAAACCTGTTTTTCCTTTTTAAGGCCTTCAACCATTGCATAAGGTCTCACCCATATTATCAAGAGTGATCTCAGTTATTTAAACTGAACTGATTGTAGATATTAACTACACCAACAAAATACCTTCACAGCAATATATCAATTCGTGTTTGATTAAAAAACAGGATACTGCAGCCTGGCAGAGTTGACATAAAACTGTCATATCAAATATGAATAAAAATTTGTCTATTTCTCTCTTTGTCCTGTCAAGTTTGGCTTCATGCATTTTGAAGTTATGTCATTAGGTAAATATACACTTATGATTGATGGTTATGTTTTCTTGACACATGGATCCATTTATCATTATGAAATGCCTTTCTTTATCTCTGATAATACTTCTTGTTTTGAAGTCTCCTTTGTCTGATATTTATGTAACCATGCCAGCTTTGAAAGCTTAGTTTTTTTCATGGTATAGTTTTCACCCTTTGCTTTCAATTTGTCTGTATCTTCCTGTTTAAAAGTCTTTTGCTAAAAAATATATAGCTGGGCTTTTCTTTTTATACAGTCTGATTATCTCTGCCTTTTAGTTGGAGTATTTAATCCACTTATATTTCATGTAATTACTGATATGGCTGGGTTTTAATCTCCTATCTTGTTGTTTACTACTTACACCCTTTTACCTTCATTCCATTTCTATTTTCCTGCCTTATTTTTTATCAATAAAGCAGTTTTAGTATTCAATTTATTCCTATCCATAAATACATATGTGTGTATGTATGTGTGTGTGTGTGTGTGTGTGTGTATATATATATATTTTTTTTTTTACAGATTTCTCAGTTTAGAAATAATATCTTTTTTTTTTTTTTAACCTTACTAGAGGACATTTTTCCATCTTTTGTTCAGAGAGAGTGGGAAGAAGAGAGAGAGAGAAAGCGAGAGAGAAAAAGAGAGAAACATCGATGTGAAAGGGACACATCAAGTGGCTGCCTCCCGCATGACCCAACCAGGGCCAGGGACAAACTGCAACTGAGGTACGTGCCCTTAGTGGGAACCGAATCCAGGTCTCTCTGGACCGCAGGCCGACGCTCTAACCGCTGAGCCAAACCAGCCAAGTCTAGAAATAATATCTTTACATTTTCACAATTTACCTTCAAATATTATGCAACTTCAGAAACAATATAAGAAGCTTATAACTGTAAGGTTATAACTAACACTTACCCCCTATTTTGGCCATTATGCTATTTTACATCTACATGTGTGATAAGCCCAATATATTGTTATTATTTTATTTGGTCAATATACTTCCAAAGAAATTAAAATACATAGGTATGTATATATTTACTAAACACAAAACCATCTATAATATTTAATCAAATAATTTTCCATCTGGCATCATTTTTCTTCAGCCTGAAAACCTTCTCTCAAAATTTTGTGTAATGCAGATTTACTGAAGACTAATGTTCTCAGCTTTCATCTACTGGAGAGTGTTTTTATTTTTGCCTTCAAATTTTAGAATATTTTTAGAATAATTTTGTTAGAAATAGAATTTTAGATTAATTTTATTTATCTTTCAATACATTAAAGATATTTGACAGTCTTATGACCTGTAAAGTTGGCCAGCGTTCATTGTTTCCTTATGTAATGCATCTTTTTCCTCTAGTTACTTTTTTTTTATCCTCACCTGAGGGTATTTTTCTATTTTTGTTTAGATAGAGTGGGAGGAAGAGAGAGGAAGAGAGAGAGAAAAAAAAACAACATTGACATGAAAGAGACACATTGAGTGGCTGCCTCCCGCATGACCCCAACCAGGGCCAAGGACAAATTGCAACCGAGGTATGTGCCCTCGACCGGAATCAAACCCATGACTCATTGGTCCACGGGCCAATGCTCTAACCACTGAACAAAACTGGCCAGGGCTCCTCTGGTTACTTTTTAAATTTGTTCTTTATTTTTAGTTTTCTCCTGTATAAATATTATGTACCTAGAAGTGGTTTAATTTATATTTGTCCTGCTTGGGGTTTACCTGAGTAATAGGTAGAATTCTTCTAGGAAGTATACTGCACAAATTTAAATATAATACATAGAAGGTAGTGTAGAAGATTTTCTGGTCCAGACACTTCTACAAATTCAAGCTTAACTTACTAGAGGGTAAAAGACACCAATGCTCAATAAGCCTATGAGTGCCCCAGGCTATAAATATCTTAAATCATAATGTCTAGTAACTTCTGAAAAAAAAAAATGCCATTTTGGAAAAGATAAAACCAAACCTTAAAATTGTGTTGATCTCTTGTATTACAATATATTTGACAATGATACATCAGATAAGGGGTTACTTTCCAAAAAATACAAAGAACTTACAAAACTCAATACAAGAAAGATAAACAATCCAATTTAAAAATGGGCAAAGAACCTGAATAGACACTTCTTCAAAGAGGACATACAGATGGCCAATAGACATACAAAAAAGGGCTCGAGGTCACTAATCATCAGAGAGATGAAAATAAAATGTCAGAATGGCTACTATTAATAAATCAACAAACAACAAGTGCTGACAAGGGTGTGGAGAAAAGGGAACCCTAGTGCTCTGTTGGGAATGTAAACTGGTACAGCCACTGTGGAAAACAGTATGGAGTTTCCTCAAAAAATTAAAAATAGAACTGCCTTTTGGCCCAGCAATCCCACTTCTGGGAATATATCCTAAAAATCCCAAAACACCAATCAGAAAGAATATATGCATCCCTAAGTTTATAGCAGCATTATTTATAAAAGCCAAGATCTGGAAATAGCCCAAGTGCCCATCAGTAGATGAGTGGACAAAAAAGCTGTGGTATATTTACACAATGGAATAATATGAGGCTGTAAAAAAGAAGAATCTCTTACCCTTTGGAGAAACGTGGAGTGTACTATGCTGAGTGAAATAAGCCAGTCAGAGAAAGACAAGTATCACATGATCTCACTTCTATGTGGAATCTAATGAACAAAATAAAATGAACAACAAAATGAAAACCAGAAGTATAGGTACCTGGAACAGACTGGCTGGTGCCCAAGGGGATGGGAGTGGGGTGACTGGATAAAGAAGGTGAAGGGATTAGCTAAAGAACATATATGCATACCTCATGGACATGAACAAGGGAGAAGGTGGGGGGGGGGTGGAGGTAGGCAAATATGGGGGAAGAGAGGGGACACCTTCAATAATGTCAACTTTAAAAATTTTAATTTAAAAAAATTATGTTGAGCCCTGGCTAGTCACAGGTTTGATTTCAGTCAAGGGCTCATGCTTGGGTTGCAGGTTCTACCCCCAGTCCTGGGCAGGGTCAGCAGGAGGCAACTAATCAATGTGATTCTCTCACATCCATGGTTTCTCTCTCTCTCTCTCTCTCTCTCTCTCTCTCTCTCTCTGTCTCTCTCTCCCTCTCTCTCTCTCCTTCCTTCCCTCCCTCCCTCCCTCCCTTCCTCCCTTCCACTTTCTCTTAAAAAAAAAAAAAAATCAATGGAAAAATATCCTTGGATGAGGATTAACAAAACAACAAAAAAATAATTGTGTTGATCTCTTGTATAACCATCCAGAAATATGAGGTCAGACAGATAATTTACATATATAATTTGCATATCTGACATTCTTTGGAGGATTTGGTTTTGATAAGCTTAATGAAGAGTAGTTATAATCTTCTGAGTCAATTCACTGTACCAGTGCAGCAAGGGACCCAAGAAAGTTTGCCTTTACAACAAAAGCTACTTAATGAGTTTTATGTCCCAGCTGTTCTATCTACCGTGTACAGGCTGTGGCAAACAATTAAAAAGACAGCAATAACTTCAGCAAAATTGAAAAAATACCTACAAATTATAGTAATTTTGATACTGTTGTAGTTAACCTAGTTATTAATAACAGGAAAGGAGCAAAGGGAAGACCAAAAATTACAGGCATGTCATTTGGGCAGCTTCACCAGGAAGCTAAAGCTTTACACTCCCCAGGGAGCCACTGATCTATTCCTTGCAGATCACTGGAGGAAGGAACTGTACAGGGAGAGGTAGACACATGCCCAGTAAAGTTGGGGTGACATAGAAAAGGTACTTGCTGTTAATCACATCTGGGGATAAGTCATTGGCCAAAATAGGTATGGCCACTGCAATGGCATGAAGTTTGAGATATAATCCCCTGAACAAAGGAGTTTGCTCTCTTGGTTGACTCCTGGCCCATGTTGGTTGACTTCTCCCACATCATCCATGTTCATGTGGACCCCTAAACACAATGGGCTAATGAACTGTAAACAGCCAGATGCTTAACTGGATCTGACTACAACATGGAATAGAAACTCTGGACACTGGCTTTGCTTTTAGCTCTACTGAAACCCCAGTTATACTTCTTCCAGGACTGGATTAAAGGAAATAGGACTTTGGAAACCCAGGAATGTAATTCAACGAAAATAAAAATCACTCATCCTCCTGTGCAGATCTCAGAAAATTCTTTTTCTCAAGATGTAGTAAGGACTCCACCCCCAATTCTCAGTGGGGAAACGGATACCTCAACTTCCCCAATAACAATTTAACAAGGAAAGATGCTGATCCTTTTATAGAGAAACTTGAATCTCAAACAAGATAAACATTTTGGTTTTAAAAAGTCACATTCGGGGAAAAGACTCAGAAAGCAAATTATAAAGGAGTTATTAGGAGCATGACTGATAAGCTAGAAAAGGGAAATTTTACATAGTTGATGAGAACATAATAATAATTGCAGGTAAAATTTTAGTTAGTAATACAGTTAGTAAATTGTGAGGGTGAGATTCCATATAGGAAATTAAAAAATTTCCTCTCTCGATATGTTGACTAATTGATGATATGCCATTTGACATTAAGAAGTTTTGCATAATAAACTGGAAAATAACAGCTTCTTTCTTCAGCTTGATGAATAAACAAATTCCACCAATAAATGCCATGCTATAAAATTTGTAAGATTTGTAAATGATAGCGAAATTTAAGAAAATGTTTTCTACTACAAAATGCTGCTCAAAACAAGAAAAGGACAAGATGCATTTGATGTTTATGACCATATCTGAAAATAGAAGTTCCATTTTGCAAAAACTACATTGACATCCATGTTGATGATGCCCCAAGAAAATTCACATGCACACTGACATCACAATACACTGTTTTCTTTCCAAGGGTGTCAAAAACTCCTGAGTACAAAATGAAAAATCAAAGTCTGAATGATACTACAAAAATTATTATTAAACAAAAACCAGTTAATTGAAGATAGTTTTAAAATAGTATGAAAATCTGGAAAAGGAGCCCCTACACTTTTTACATACAGAAATCCAGTGACTTAACAGAGAGACTGTTTGCACGAGCATTTGAGCTGGAGAACTATCTTCTAGATATTAGCAGGCAAGATGTTGCTGAATGCTTTAAAGATGAAGAATATCTGCAGAAACTGGCCTACTTAATAGACATGTCTCATCACCTTTTCTAGTTGATCAAGTTTTGTAAGATCCAGGAAAACTTTTATATTTCAAGTGACAAGATTCTTGAATTTAAAATAAATCAGTGCTCTGCCTCTCCACAGAGTTCTGGATTTCTGTGGAAGCACAGCCACTTTCAGGGAAACTGTGAACATCTTGCTGTGGTTTTAGCTTCTTTTGTTTATGAGTGTTTCTTATTTAACCAGCATCAAAAACATGAACAGAATTATCTGATTATAATTAAAAATGAAATATATGTACGCTTATGTCACATATTTACCCAGAATTGTGTATTTTTGTTGTTAATCCTCACCCAAAGATATTTTTCCATTGATTTTTTAGATAGAGTGGAAGGGAGGGAGGGAGGGAAGGAGTAAGGAAAGAAGAAAGGGAGGGAGGGAAGATAGAGAGGGAGGGGGAGAGACATACATAGAGAGAGAGAGAGAGAGAGAGAGAGAGACACTGATGTGAGAGAGACACACTGATTGGTTGGAGGCCCAGAGATCGAACCCGCAACCCAAGTAGGTGCCCTTGACCAGGAATTAAACCCTCCATGGGCTGACACTCTAACTGCTGAGCCAAACTGGCCAAGGCAAGAATTCTGTATTTTTGCAGCAAAAATAAGCACAGGTTTCACATTACACATGTAAATTTTATTCTTTCAGTTTTGTTCAAACAATTTTTTTAGTCCAAATATAGGCCTATAAAAGAGATCTAGAAACCAACATATCTGCATAATAATATTGTAATGGTTAGGCCTATATTTGAGTCTAATCAA